GCTCCTCCTCACGACCTACACAGACAGGCCTGGGCCGGAGAGTGGGGCACTCCGCCCAGGAGAGGCAGCGCTTCGCCGGGGTGTCACCTGCGGCAAACAGAGCCAGCTGCTCGCTCACTCTGTTCCTCACACACGCAAACCCACCCCGGCAGGAGCTGGCCCGGGAGGGCACCCCGCGCAGGGAGGCCGCAGCCGAGGCGCACTGAGGAACGCGGACGCTGCAGCCTGGTCCCTCGGGGCGTCGGGCTGGGCTGGACGATGAGCCCGGCTGTCCCAGCCACCGTCCCTGCAAGGACACTGCGTGACCAGGAGGGACCGGAGGAAGCAGGGTCTGCACCAGGAGCCTGCAGAGGGGGCGTGGCCCTGCTCTTGCACCTGCCGCAGGTGGTCACGCCCGGCCACCTGCCCTGTGAGCAGAGTCCACAGATTCCCAGCTCAGCGGGGGCTGCTTTTCTGTTTGTTCGTTTTTAAGTAATTTATACTTTTTAAAAAATATGTTTTTAATATATATTTTATTGATTTCAGAAAGAGGCAGGGAGAGGAGAGAGAAACATCCAAGATGAGAGAGAATCGTTGACAGGCTGCCTCCTGCACACCCCACCCTGGGGATGGAGCCTGCAACCCGGGCACGTGCCCCGGCAGGAATCAAACTGTGACCTCCTGGTTCCTAGGTCCAGGCAATGCGTGGCAGCATCTCCTTCTGGGACAGCTCTGCGGCCCCGGTGCACCTTCTCTAGGTCAGAGACTCAGTGGTTCCAGCTGTAAAGTGGGAGCAGCGACCCTACTTTACAAAGTTGTGTGGATGAAATGAACCTGAGATGTCTGATGCTGCTATCACTAAAGTGCAGCTCAAGCAAAGCCCAGTTTCTCCCTGAAATTAGGAGCCGTGGCCTGTCCCCACCCGGGGTGTGTGCTGCAGGTGTCACCTGGGCAGACGTGGCCCCGTGGGTGGCAGAGCTCTGGGAATGTGAGGAAGTGGCCACTGGGGTCACAGCCAGTCCGAGGGCTGCTCCACAGCCAGGGCAGAAGCCCCAGCAACGGGCTGAACACCACTGAGCAGCCAGGCGGGCGCGTGGTTCCCACGGGCTGCCCAGAGGCAGGGCAGGGCTCGGACCGCGAGGAGCGTAGGCAGTGGCGGGTGGTGTGTGTCCCGAGGAGGCCGTCCTGCGGGGTGGGAGCAGGGACCCAGGTGCGGCAGATGGCCCTCTGTCCGGCGTCTCTGGGAGCGTCAAGGCGTGGACTGAGCTGTCCTCCTGGTGACCTCACCACATCCTGTCCCCGGCTGAGGCGTGTCTCTGGAGGAGGTGGCCGCCAGCAGGTGGCAGAGGCCGGGTTTGCTGCTCACTCGCCTGTCCACAGGCCGGACTTGAATTCCCTGCTCTTCACCCCAAAGCTGAATGACACTCCACGGCTCACGGGGGATACGGGGAGAAGGTAACATTTAACTCTGAAGCCAAAGGTGTTGCTCCAGCCGCCTGCTTCTTTTTAGTTGGATTTATTGGGGTGACATTGGTTAATGAAATCACATAGGCTCCAGGCATGCGGTTCTATAACACACTGTGTGTTCACCACCCCAGGCCAGCCTCCTCCATCTCCGCTTATGCCCCTTTGCCCGCTCCCTCCTGTCTGTTAATAGACGGCTCTTCTCTTACAGGGGTGGTTTCTCGAGAAAAGGGCTTTCATCCTTTAAACCTGGAATTTTTCTTTTTTTAAAAAACTTATTTTAATTGATTTCAGAAAGAAAGGGAGAGGGAGAGAGGAACATCAATGATGAGAGAACCATGGATTGGTTGCCTCCCGCAGCCTCACACTGGGGATAGAGTCCGCAACCAGGCATGTGTCCTGACCGGGAGTCGAACCATAACCTCCTTGTTCACAGGTCAATGCTCAATCACTGAGCCACACTGGCCAAGCTCCCCTTAGAATTGAAGGGGCAGCTTTCCCCTGGACGTGGCCTGGAGAAGTGGGGCGATGGAGGTGGAGCAGGGCTGTGGAGTCGGAACAGCAGTTTCAGGGTGCCTGCCACCTGCGGGGGAGCTCCAGGGTC